TCTTCTTCCTCAATAAAGAAAATATATTCATATTGACCCAACTGCGAAAAACTCGGCACTTCAGTGGGGTTCGAACCCAAGGCAGTAAGATGGAGGCTTTAGTACAGCCAACGCTCTGACCACCTGAACTACGAGGCCCCGCCGGACGACGCGAGTTTAATCACATTTGGGTCAAGTTACTTGCAAGTACATTTGGTCAAACTGAAGGACAAGGGCCATCTGCGGGACCACTCGTCCAATTGACAAAGATCTTGGAAGTGCGTCTCATCGGCAGCATTCTGGATGACTTTCCAGATTTTTATGTCGTCCGCAAACATGGCACAATCACAGTCCAACCTATCTACACAATCATTGATGAACAAGAGAAAGAAGGTTGGTCCGAGCACCGAGCCTTGTGGGACCCAACTGTCTATGAATGTGCACCTTGATTGCTGTTGTTCTACGCAGACAATTTGGGAGCGGCCGACAAGGAAATGTTCGATCCATTTGAGAAGTTTGCCGTCGATGCCCATGACTCTCAACTTGTGCAGGAGACGCTGGTGCGGAACACTGTCGAACGCCTTCCTGAAATCACTATAGGCAACATGCACAATGTGTTTTGCGTCCAGTGCTCTTGTCCAGCTTTGCATTGTATATAGCAAGTTCGTCACACATGATCTTCCCCTACGGAAACCGAATAGTGAATTTAATATGAGGTTGTTGGTTTCCAAATAAATCAAAAACTCAGAATGATATTACCGACAAAGATAAGGGAGACTGGAATGGCCATTTCTGGCTTATTAGTCGTCCTCAGCCATAAACTCCTTTTATATGGTTTTCTCCATCACTTTGCAGCAGATTGATGTCAGGCTGAGAGGCCTGTATTTCGTCGCAAGAGCACGACTACTGCTTTTGAAAAGGGGTGTTATGTGGGCTGTCTTCCAGTCTGTGGGAAGAGTTCCAGCATCAAACGATTTCTGGCACAGAAAGGATAGTGGCTTGGCGAGCTGTTGTGCAAGCTCAAAGAGCAGCTTTGCTGGGATCTCGTCCGGACCGGGAGATTTACATTCCTCCAAGCTTTTTAGTTCTTTCAAAATCGTTTTTTCTCGACACACAATGTCTTTGATGGTGGGATCTCCCATGTTTTCGAACTAGTTGGAATAAAGTCTGCTTCTATAGTGAAAACGGATTGGAAAAATTGCGCAAAATGCTCAGCTTAGTTTTTACTGTCCGACATCTCAAACCGTCATCATTCCTCATGACAGGAATGGGATTCCTGTTACGTGTGCTCTTCCGCAACTAGCTGTGTAGCAATTTCGGATTTTTAACGGTTCAGTGAAGCAAACTACTTTCGGAATCCTGTCGCCTCCTGAAAATCAGGCTTTTCACCTCATTTCTTTGAACTTTATATTCTGTAAACTCTGCAATGTTGTTGTTTTCGCGAAATTTCTTCCACAACCTTACTTTCTTGTTGATCTCCTTTTTGAGGTGTCGTGTTAGCCAATGAGGGCGGTTGGATATCGTAGGCTTTGATAAAGGATAGTGGCTCTTCATTAGATGCAATAACCAACCCTTAAATAAATTCCAGTCATCGTTAACGTTTCCGGAGAAGATAACATCCCAGTCTATTTGTGATGCCTCAGCCCTCATTTGGCAAAAGTCCCCCTTCCATATATTCGGCCTCGTATACTCTTTTGTATACGGTTCAGAATACAGCTCCTACTCCCATCAAATTACTGCATGATCACTTCGACCGAGCGGAGGTAGGTAATACACCTCGTGTATACTGTTAGTATCTTTGGTGAAGACGAGGTACAGACAACTGGCCTGTTGCCGTCCACGTGCTCTAGTTGAAAAAAGGACATGTTGCGTGAGAAGAGCTTCCAAGGTTGTCTTTAGTAGACCGTAATCGAAGGCATTCTTCGAGCACTTCGCATGCATATCGCTCCATTGAATGCAGGGTGCATTAAAATCCCTCCATGAGAACAACGTCTGGCCGACTGGCGATCTCTTTTATGCTTTCCAGTAGACAATTATCTGGGCCGGTATCCGACTGCGGAGGCCGGTAAGTAGTTACGACTTCGAGGGACTGAGATCCCCCGTGCCTTTATAGTCAGCCAAATTGCCTCTGTGTCGTCAGAAATTTTGTTGGTCCCCTCACACACTGTTAAATTGCTCTTGATATACATGGCAACTCCTCCACCCCGGCGACCTCTCCTATCTCTCCTAAACAATTGGTATCCTGTGAGTGCTACCGCGAAATCACCTACGTTCTCTGACAGCCACGTTTCTGTTATTACTATAACATCGGGAGGAGTATCGTCTACCTGTATTCTCACTTCGTCAAGCTTGGAAAACAGACTCTGAGCATTGGTGTAAAAGAATTTAAGTTTGAAAAATTGGACAATGCTTCGTTCGGTTTGTTTCGAGCTTGCCAATATTATGTTGCTACCGCCATCATG